TCTAATCAATAGGCAGACACCTTTCCTTCCCTTCTTGCAAACTTTCTGCAATGGTGGTGTAAGCATGTCAGCTGTTGTTTCTGCGTCTGTTTTCAGTGCTTCAGGCGGAATTCCATCTGGTCCTCTTGCTTTCCCGGATTTCAGTAGTTTTATGGCATTCAGGACTTCTGCTTTTGTCGGAGGGCTTGTGTTTATTGATAATTCTGTGACTGCTGGTGGTGTTTCTGGCCAAGTGAGGGAGTGGCATGCACACCCAATGTACGGAAATGCTGTCATGAGTAACGCAAGCACAAACACAAACGTAACACTAAGGCAACACGATTTCCTTCTTACGCCATGCCATGCCATATCACTTCTAGAATGTAAAGTTATATCGGCATTTATTTTTCACGGTCTTTAAAACTCCTGGCTTCGTTGTTTCATCTCAAATGTTTTATGACCTGCTGTATTTATATCTTCGACGCCAGCTGCACGTTGGTATGATGTCTATTGTTTATTTTCACTTATTTAGCTATAGTCTTTTCGGTTCGCTGTGTGTCATTCTAGTTCACATTTCTGACAGCCTTTTGTAACACTTTGACCCATTTAAGCTTTGTTTTTTACTGTGTCATGCCGTTACATAATCTGCATTGCTGTGAGATCGTGCTATTTTTTACTGTCATACTGAGCTTCATTATTGATTTCTTGGTTGATTCGCATGTGCTTGATGAATATCGATTTTTCTTCTTAAGTAGATTTAATTTTAAATTGAATCTATCTCTGCATGTTGCTTGATTAGCTTTTCATTGGGATCCCATACTTCCAGAAATTTTCCTGCAGATTTTGAACTTGCTTTTTGAAGGATTTCCACATTTTGCCAGTCGAATTTGTGATCGTGATTTGCTGCGTGGATTGAAACCAGTAAATATTTGGTTACCTCCCAGGTAGGCTGGTTTTAGAAGATATTGTCTCTTGTGAATGCCCAGAATATATGTAGAGGGTTCCTTCCATCTATGTGAGGAGGACGTAAAAGTAATATAAAATGTGCTATCAGTGATTGATTGGCATGCCAAATTCTGAGTACCAGTTGTTACCTTATAGGCTTCTTAGAAGCAACAAAGTTTAAGATGTAAGTAGCTTATATAAACTCAATCAAGATGATGAAATATACTGCAGATCCTTAGATTATCGATCCACATTTAAAAGATATGTGCCAAATTAGTTTATATTCACCGGTTTCAGAAGTTCCGATTCTCTTGGAGCTGTGATCTTTTAGCGCGTCAAAGAAGAGAATTATTTTAATCTCTACCAGACTAAGTCCGTAATGTGTTAGGATTTTCTGCTCATATAATACATATGAAGAATGGATGTTGGTGGTTTTACCATCAAAATTTAATTCTTAGAATAGGAAGTCTGACAGTTATATTTCCATATTAGATGTGTTTATTTGATTTATAACACGCAGTGATTCAGTATTATTTACTTCATGACGTTTTGAGTATAAATTATTGCTCATAATCATATCAATGTAATCACATTACTTTCTTCGGTATCAAATGACTTCTAAGCTTCTGCCTGAAATCTCCTACTATCTAGTCAGATGGGCTGAAGTCAGCAGCCTGTGAAGACTACCAAATACTTCAAAACGATGTCAGTTCCTGTATACAATTCCTGACATTTGGTGATCATATTGGTAAATATCGTCCCACTGTCTGTACTACTCACCACAATTGTATGAGATAGGCTCGAGTTGTTTATTCACACTTTATTTTTAGTTTATTAGACTAGGCAGCGGTAGTATTCACAATAGGGAGGAAGCATCAAGGTGGGTAGTAGGTTGTAGTTGGAATATAAAGATCTAGGATTGTATATAGAATATGCCACTGGTTGGCAAGCAGAATGAAAGAAATGCACTTTCCTTCGTACCTGTATTCATAGTCATATTCAATTAAATTTAGGTAACAGGTGTATGTAGATTTCATGCGATTTAGTGACATTTTAGTCCTCGTCTGCAACTGATAGTTAATCAGTTTAACAGATTAACATATATATATGCAATCAGTGGTTGAACAGTGTGCATAGCCAGGAAATTAGGTAGAGCATCATGCTGTTTTTTGTGACTCATTGATTTATGTATTGATAGTGTAAGTAAACGTGCTGATCATTTCCCAATAAACGAAATAAATGCAGAAGTTAACACTAGTCAGTAAAATATTTCGATATTATAGTTAATCTGAAAAAGTTCATTTTCCCTAACCTTTTCACCTAGCTAGTTTATAATAAAGCTTGACCTCTGCTACTTCCAGTATAATAGCAATTTCAGAGATTTTTCCATTGTGAGTGAGAAAATTGTATCTGAATGCTGATGTTGGTTCTCATGGAGTATTTCAAGAAGGGAATCAATTCTCAAATAAAACCTCAGACAATAGATTATCTTGAAGTCTATTATTACAACATGTGTTGATAAAGCTAGTTAAATGGTTTCAGTATTGGGAATTATTCTTTTATTAGGCCGGTTGGATGAACCTGATATATATTGTAGATTCCACAAAACGATCTAATATTTCTAGCATCTTTGTTGTCTTAATTGTAAGAATGCTACTGAAAGAACCTGCTAATTTAACAAACATTGAGTCTAGTTGACAGTAAATGATGAACAAAGTCATTTAGTTAGAACAAAGGATTGCCATCTATCTATGACCTAAGCAGGAAGGCGTTACCACATGAATAATAATTTACCTACACAGATGAAGCTTACATAAATTTAGATATTATGCATAAACAACGAATTGTTCAAAAATACATTGACAAACTGTGGGGTTGGTAATTACATTTCCATTCAGTGGCGATGATTATCTTCCTTTCAGCCCAACACTTCGTATGATCTTACTTTCGGCAATTGAAGGCTGGCAGTTAGTTATATATGGGACGTTCTTTTTTATCAGATTGAATTGACTCGAAAGTCCTTTGAAGTTGGACTCAAAACTTCTGCTTATCCTAGTAGGAATAAGTAGTAGCCAAGTACATATGAACAGCAAGGCAGAAAGTAAGAAAGATGAGATGCAAATAACTATGATGAGTAAGGTCAATGGTTTGAAATGATGGGGAATGATGGTTACTTCCTGCAAAATATCATACTTCTCTGGACTTTAAGAGGGTTAAAAGATGACATTTCACATGTGTGGCAAGTGATAGGTTGATAACTAAATAATTTTAAATGATACACTAAAGTAATAAACTCAACTAAGAAGAATCATTCTAGCCACTTTACACTACAGATCAGATGGTGTAGCACAAAGTAGTCTTCCCCAGTTAGGTATAGTCTAAAATGCTGATTATCATTCTAAGTGCTTAGATTAATTCAAAACAATGTCAGTGGTGTTTCAACATTAACTACTGCACTTCACTAGGTATATCGTAGTTTATTCTTACATTCAGAGTGATGTTAGCTTTTTGACTTATTGATCATGAGTACAGCAAATGTACCTATCTGTAACAGCTGTTACGCGTGCCGTTGATAAATGTAAGAATATGCTCAACACTGCATACAGATTGCAACGTCAGTAACCTACACCTGGTTTCAACATTCAAAACTACTGAGGAGTCGTATATCCACTACCTGGAAACAAGTACGAATCAACACACACACACTAGTTGCACAAGAATCTGAACTGATTGTTTGCTAGGCACAGAGAGAGAGAGAGAGAGAGAGAGAGACGTCAGAGAACATGATGATGCGCTGTTCCTATCGTCAACCTTAGGAAACATTCTTGACCAGATAAAGCAGAAGAAATGTATGTAGAGCATCAATGCTTTTAGATGCTGTCGGCTTCCATATTCATTGGAATTAATTTGAAAGTGAACATTTCGTTTCATGCATGATAATGACAGAATACTTTGGAAGTAAAATATCTCCCATCTGTTATTTTTGATAAGAGAAGACAAGAAGTTCGACACAGTAATCAGTTTTGGCAAGTCCATTCTCGGCACCTGAGCAATCACAGTCTCATACCTTTTTTGGTCTGCGATACCGACAGAGTTACGCATACTTATTATGTTATTGAATATGGCAGTGGTGGTAGAGTTAGGTGGAAGTCTTGTGAATTGTAGATATGTTGGGATGGCTATCAAGTGGGATGACCAGTGCAAATTAATCCTAAGACAGCTCGGAAAATGATGGGATTAGTGAGATTCAGCATTTGGTTTCGATGTATGCTGCGGTAATTCACATGCACCAACTTTTGGACTGGGAGAATGAGGAAGAACGAAAGGAAATTTAAGCTTTCAACATATTTTCATGTCATCAAATTCACTTCTAAGTTCTATACTTTAATCGAGTAAAAGCGTATCATGTTACTGCGAAATCCTATAGCTGTACAGTAATCTCCACTCTTGAGGTTTTGTAGCGTGAGGTAAACATGTGAGATAATTACTAACTGGGTACATTTTCTTTTGAATTTGGTGGTTTGTGGGGATTTAGAGATTTTCCAAGTTCTTATTCATTGTGGACTGACATTTATAATTAAAATACCAAAACGAATTTCCCTTAGCTATGCGGTATTGTAGAAAATTCAATTATTACGTGAACAAAATCTCATACGCTAATGTCTGTTACCTTTTCGATTCTTTGACATCTTATCTATCTCCATAAGATATGTACTACTTACATTTTGAATGCTTTGTATTTAACTAACTTTTAAAATCCTATTACCAACTATTTTTACGGTTATTGGACTGAAGGTCACTAGAATTTATAACACCAGAACAAATGACCTTCAAACGATTGACCAATATACGAAAACCAATCACATCACTCTGATAAGAAAGTCATTTCCTCTACAAATGATCTGATAAACAAAGGTAAGATTAATTATTTTAATGCACCATTTTAAAGAAATACATTTTCAAGTGATGTACATCTACTTCAACAAGTAAATCATCACAGTAGACAGTAACTGAATGATCAGACGGATTGATTCGATTGATTCATAGTACACCATGTTTATATACTTTAATGAAGAATGACAGATATAAATGTTGAACTGCTGAAAATAGATGGAACAAAACTGCACAGTCCAGGAAACGAACCAGATATAAATATCGATAATCTATTAGAGCACGAGGTTGGTGCTTATGGATTGTGGCAATGGTGCATAACGCTCTGCTTAATGTTGAGCAATTCAGCATTAGTATCTTTTGCTATCTATGCGAATTCAGCGCCAAGGCATCGTTGTCGAATGAATGATCAAATAGAAAACTATATTGATCAGAATAATATCTCTTTCGAAGTAGCAGCAACTCTTATTGGACCATGGTTTACGAAGGATATTCATGACGCGAATCAAATTAATGGTTGTGTTCGTTATGAACTAAACTGGACGACATATAAATTTGTGGATTTATTAAATTCAAGAAAGGATTTGAACACCTCACATCTGAGTACAATACAATGCTCTAACGGTTATGTGTTTGAAGATAGCAAACTACACTATCCCGGTAATGTTATTCAGGAGTTTTCAATTGTGTGTCAGTATGCATGGTTTGCACCTCTTGGTACCTCTGTGTTTATGTTCGGCATGATGCTAGGATTTATTTTAAGTGGAATATGTGGCGATAAATTTGGCAGGAAGTATACAATGCTAACTTTTGCAGGAATAGAATTTTTGGGTGGTATTTGGACTTCATTATCACCAAATTTCGTAAGTTTTATGTTAGCTAGAGCACTCATGGCTGTGGGTTGTACAGGGAAGTTGAGTGTTGCAAGTGTATTTGTAGCAGAATGGACATTACCACGTTATCGATCCATATATTGTACAATGATATCCCTTAGTGTAAATTTCTTGTTTCCGGCCCTAATGGCCTTGTGGGCGTACTTGATCCCGAATTGGAGATGGCTCAATATTGCTATCACGTGTCCAAATTTATTGAGTGTATTTTATTACAAACTTCTACCAGAATCACCAAGATGGTTGCTAGCCCGTAGGAAGAATGATACAGTAATTCAAGTATTAAAAAAGGCATATACTGTGAATCATTCAAGGAGTATATGCTGTGGCCAAAAAAATCAACCACATCCTGAGAAACTTGAAAGTTTAGCTAAATTCTATTGCGATAAACTTCCGCGGGCAGTTTCCGAGACACAGTCAAGTAATGAAATACTTATAAACAATAAAACTGATGACAAATCCGATATCTCTAACAAAAAGTTGTCAAAACAGTTATATTTGCTAGCCTGTTTGTATTTGGTATTGTATCGTGTGTTTACGGTTTACTTCTGTATGCACGTGTTGTGAAAAACTACATCTATTTAGTTGGTTTCTTGAATTCTACTACAGCAATACCAGCGTTTATCATATCAACAGTCTCATATCGTATTACAGTTTATCGTAAACGTCCACTGGGAGTTGTGACTGGATTGAATATAGTACTGCTTGGTGGAACTGCATTATTTCAGCTCATTGTGAAGCCGGAAACGGACATGGTACTGACTATATGTTCAAGTATTTCACTGACCTTATTGAATTCATCCTTATCAATGTGTTACATATTTGTAGCAGAACTCTTTCCACCGAGAATTCGTACACGCTGCTTTGGAATTGTACTCGGTGTATCTAGAGTTGGCAGTATGATGTCAAGTTTCATCAATGAATTGGATCTTCACCTAGGACACGGTGCGCCATTCATAGTTTATTGCATAATTCTTACACTAGAATTTTTCATTCTATGGATATTGCCTGAAACAGGATGGAGTAAAGAATCTTGTTTGTCGGTGGATCAGAATGTTGAAAACGACTGTGTTTCACAACTTTAAACTTGTATTGGTGAGTAGTGAGAGAGTGGGAGAATTTACCTTCAATTTCTATACTCATATCATTATGTATCTTCTGATTGATTATTTATGCATTTTGTTTCCGAAATGACAGCAAAGATTTGTGACTCATGATGAGGGGGATGATGGTGCGGTGTATCTTAACAAAACACGATATTTTTTCCTTCTGAAGTGATTTTATTATTGCATGTTGGCACAGGTGAGGGCTATTCCATAACTGTACAATTTATTCTGTCTTTCTGCTTGAAATTATTTATCATGGGATTGAAGAAGTACGAAGGGTTTGTACTAGAATTCGCGGCTGTTTGAATAATATTTTGACTTGAACCACTTTGCACATTCTACATAGTCGAAGGAAACAAGTGAATTTCTTTTTCTTCTAGTCTGTCATTGGTATTTTGACATTCGATTCTGTTGTACTACCTTTCGATTACATTATTCGTCTCCCTGAAGATGAATAAGTTCGTAGTGTACATGTTTTTAATAAATAATGAAAACATTTGAAATTTTATCTTCTTTATATTAACAATCAACATACTTTATGGAAGGATCGAATTAAGAGTGATTGATTGGCAAAATGTACAGTCTGCGAGTAATACTCAATCATTTGTCTTAAAATGTGATATGATGGTTCATTTAGTGTTAGTTGATTCGACTAATGCGTATTTGGAGTGTGCCTTTCTCTTCAAAAGTATTCTAGACAAAAACTCCTAAAATCGAATAACTTGGTAAAGCAAATTGTTCAACTTTTCTATAATACATAATTAAAGTTGACTACATGATATGAATTAGAATAAAATTCTACGTCTTAGAGAAAAAAGAAAACTCCGCCTAAATTTATAAATGTTACAAGAAGAGAAGAACTAGGAGCTCGGTATTCACTCGCTATTCCAAACTTCCACCTATTTAAAAACAAATTAGCAGACTTTGGTTTTGAGCATGCCAAAACTTGTGAGGACGGTACGGTGTATGTTGAGCATCTAGGAAACTAATTCTATCTGTGGCCCATGAACTTTCAATGGTAATTGCACTAATTTATCTTGTGTGATACTGCATAAAGAACTCAGTGGGTGGCAGTCGAGGATATCCTGTAATTTTGACTACCATTCAGGGATCGCATACAAAGTGTAGTACATCGTTAATGAACTTTGGTATTTGCTTGGACAGCACAATCTCAGCGAACAGTGAAATCATGAAAGTGACACCTGTTGCTAGTTTCATTTAACGCTTTCATATTCTTTTGTATGCATATTTTAAGGAAGTAAATGGCTTGGAGAGTTGGTTATCATGGTTTCTTTTAAAGTGAACCATTGGTGGGAGTCAGTAGTTCATATCTTGCAGTTGTTCGAAGCTATTATAGCCTTCATTAGGCACGTTTTCTTTTTGCAAGATGTAATAATGTTGACAATTGGAAATGCAAGACAAAGTTTAACAGAATGAAAAGAACTAATAAATTATGGCATAGCTTTATGTATAGGAGTTGACTGACGAACTGTAACCGATACCAGGATTTCTAGCTAAGAGATGACTAAAGCCTATGACTCATATCTTCAGTATAGTAGACCAATGTTGAGGCAGATTTTCCTTCAAGGGGAATGATTGTTGGCAATCGGAATAAATTTCTGCTCTTAGACTTTTTGTGTTCAACAACATATATTACCTCATAAATCAGAGTCTTCAAAAGCAAGTGAAAAAATCGTAGCCCTAAATGTTAAGGTTTTTCGGTCGCGGTTAACCTGGGTATATAAGCTTCTTATGCACTGTCTTCAACCAGAAAGCCTTCATAGAACATAGCTTTCCGCAGTATGTGGATTAATTGTACACTGTCATTTTGTCATGAGACAGTGTTCACTGAATATCTTGTTTGTAACTTCCCTCAATTCCAGAGTGGGAATTTAAAATGAATGAGTTGATTGGCTATCTATCGTCGTTGAGCTAACAGCCAATTTTCTCCATGAACTGAATTTTTCGGGAACACCAAGTTCGACGCGATTACTCATTTTAAACATCTTTCAAAGTTGTTGTTCAAAGAAGATGAATTTTGTAGTGCTGGTCATTTGTGACTGAAGGTTAAAAGGAAGTCTATTCGCCTCGATAATGAAATTTATACGAATAAAGCATAGAATAGGTGTAACAGAGATTAAATATATGATTATTTGTCTGTGAATGCAGGAAGTGGTTAACGGCGATAGTCTAGTGAAGACAACACGTTAAGTTGCACAGATGTATAGCGACAAAATGAAGGAATTTGATAAATCTAAGATTATAATGGGTGATGATTGAAGGTGAAGTGAAGATCTAGGTGACAGCATGGTTCAAACTAGCTGAACCCAGGCAACTGGCCAGATATTCTGTCAACTGAACTACGAGATTCAACTGCTGATCGGATCATAATCTAAGGTTAAAAGGAATGAGTCAATCAATGTATGCAAACATTCAAGTTTAGAGTTCAAATGACTGGCGTAAAGGGGTATTGTGAATTTGTTGATTCCAAAGTTGGTCAAAGAAGTGGTAGTGACTGTACCTATTTCTTTTTTCATATAATTCAGGCTATTTAGGTGGAATGGCTACAGTTCCTGAAGTATTAGGTATCTGGTAGCGTCTGACAGGTTGATGGGGACGTTGTCTATGGTAGAAAATGACTTACTCATATTGGCTTTATGGACTGTTTGTGCTACTTGAACTAACATCGAACAATTTAAATTTTTCACTACACCTTTATTTAGCCATGATAACCAACAATCAAGTTCCAATAATACTGGTTTACATAACTTGCTTTACAGGAGCGGTTGAATTGATAAACAACGAGTAGCCGGCCTAGAAAGTTGATCGTTCAGCCTCGTTAGCACAATCGGAGGGGTGTAGAAAACACCCTGCAATCTCCCTCACATTAGAAGTTCTTTGGATAGATATTCACAGATCTTCTATCTCGCGAGGTGCTTCCCATCTAAATTTTATTCTCATGGAAATCGGTTTCTTGCTCATAGCTGAGGCACGGTTTCTTTTCTAGTTTTACCGTCTGTCATTTCGGTCAGGTTGTTGTTTAAGGTCCTCAATTCCCCATTGATCGTATCTTCTGAACATTTAGCTATTACTCTGTAATTGAGTGTATTTACTAGGTTTCATCTATGTTGGAGGAGGGGAGAGGAAGCTAAAGAAGTATGTATATCGTCCGAATCAATAATTTTTCTTCGCATAAATTCGTATTTAGTGATGTATTTGGTCTTCTAGAAAGAAAGACATCCGGAAGAGCTATTTTATTCTATGATTCTTGTTGACATTTAAACTCCTTAGTAGGTTGTGCTTCATTAAATTTGGTGAGCGTCTCAGATGTATTCCAATCACTTTCACGAGGGATGACTGTATGATCCATATATCTACAGTAAAAGGCAAACCGTGTGATAAACTGATTCGGAGGACGATTTTCTAGCTTAGCCAGGAATATGTCTGCTAATAGAAGGTCAAGTAGCAAGCTAATCGCAACCTCATTCACACGTCTGTAAAATTCCACATTATATTTGAACGGAGAATATTTTTTCAATAATTTTTCGTCAGGTTCTACATTTAGAAGATCAATTTCGTTAACAAATCAATAGCCAGCATTTGCGGCGAATGCCTTTTACAATTTATATGGGATTATAATTGCAATTAGATTGTTTAGATTTGTGGATGATGGTGTAACTTGTATATGTATGTCAGTTGCGGTGATAAGTTCAGTGTGAACTTTGTCAATGGAATGGTGACCAGAAATAGTGAGTGTATATAGCATGGGGAAGGAAAACTAATGGTAAAGTTCAAGGTTGCATTATGTTGAGTACGTATTTAGTACAAAGAATGACGGAAATGATGTAGATATGTCTCATACGATGTTCAAAATGTAAAGCAGTTAGCATAATAGGAATAATAATAATGTGAAAAATTTTGACAGGAAGTTTATTTTATTTGTAATAAGAGGAAAGGAAAATCTTGGCTTTGGAAGTAGTCACTTTTGTCAAGGAGAACTACTCCTTTTCCCTTATCAGGTTCAATGATTATTAAGTTTTCATTCATCACAAGTTTATCAGTAGCCTTTCAAGGGTTTTTTGCTGCAGGACTTCTACATGAATACTTACTGTTCTCATGTTGATGACACCAGACAACTAAATTACATTTGAAGGGTCCTAGTTCGAGATTGGAAGAAGGCATCAAACCCACTGTCTGACTATACAAACTTTCAAACTGAATATCTGTGTCTGTACGGCTAATGTGATTGCACCTGTTACAGAATTTATACCTAGAGCCACTACCTCGAGTTATAACATATCTAACGCAATAACAATAGAAAAAATTATGAATTTAACTGTCTAGGTTTACTGGAAATTCACTTGTAGCTATTTGACTATTGAATCTCTCCGTTAGTTAGATGGATTTTTTCTTTGCTTCTCTTTGATCTATTTGAGAGATGCATTCCATGAGGTGATCAGGAAGCTCATCTATGTCATGTTATCCACGAAAGAAATTCATCAGTGTTTCGTATGTGTGCGCACAAAAGTAGACTTGATTTAGTACATTTTACTTCGAAGCTTTAATATTGATATGTGCTCTACTGCAGTGCAGCCACATGGGATATATAGCTTTGGATAAGGGTTCACTTCGATGCTGTTCTGTATAAAATCTGACATGGTCTTCGATTCAGTGGGGAGGAATTGGGTTAACGCAAAGAACATTCTGTGTTCTTCACAGTATCTTCTGAATAAAGATGTAACAACAGAGGAGAAAGACCAGGTTCTCGCATCAGTGAGATGAAGTAAAGAGTATCCTTGAAGATTAGCTAGTATTATGGCTTATTTCCAGCGATGAAATACGATTGCCCGCCACCAGCGACTTTCGATGCACGAAAGTTCCACTGCTCTCAGTGCCATTCGGAAGTGTGTTCTGCTTCTGCTGTTGTATGGCTCCTTTTAATGTTGGATGCATCACAACACTTGAAGAGACAAAGAGAT